AAAGGGGGTGTTACTGAAATATCAGAAAATGATAGAGAACACTGGCACATTTCGAACTCTTTTTTTCTATCACTAATTGTATTTTGAATGTCAAACCCTAATTTATCCGTGTGTATATTATCCTGTTCATTGGTCCTATAGCATTTGTCACGTTCGAAAAATATTTGTCTAACAATGAAGGAAGACACAGTAAGTGAGCGTTGATCGATTTATTTTGAGCTTTATTCCCTTTGTTGACAATTTCATTATGTGATTTTGGACACTTGAGAACACATCAGTATCGTAACATTATACACTGTGTGAGAACACATCGGTATTGTGTCATTGAACACTGTGTGATAACATCAGTCTGATAACATTACACACTCTGTCAGAACATATCAGTATGGTAACATTACACGGTGTGTCTGAACACATCAGTCTGGTAACATTACTCACTGTGTCAGTACGTATCAGTATGGTAACATTACACGCTGTGTCAGAACATATCAGTATGGTAACATTACACGCTGTGTCAGAACATATCAGTATGGTAACATTACACGCTGTGTCAGAACATATCGGTATGGTAACATTACACGCTGTGTCAGAACATATCAGTATGGTAACATTACACGCTGTGTCAGAACATATCAGTATGGTAACATTACACACTGTGTCAGAACACATCAGCATGGTAACATTACTCGACTGCTAATATGTAAGATCTTTTGAAAGACTCGAAACAATTGGTAACAAAGGAAAATAGATTGATAACCTAACCTTTGTCACATAGGAATAATATAAATATTAAAATCGTTCCGCACATTTGAAAATTTTAAACAAATTCCTAAACTCGTTTCTACCACGATAGCTGTTGCACACACTTCATTTCGGTCAAAAAGTGATGCTATATCAATATCAAAATCGCTCCGAGTATATGAAAATTTGAAACAAATTCTTAAACTCGTATCTACCATAATTGCTGTTGCACATACTTTCTATCGCTCATCGTGCGCAAAACACAACACAATCGCACATTTCCTCTATCGTACATACATCGTGCGCACATCGCATATCGAGAAACGATGTGCGATCCCACAACCGTAACATTACACATTACAATATTGTTTTGTAATATTGGAAAACGTTGGAGAACTGGGAACTAGGACATTGTGGAAAACTGAAGTATATTTACATTGGACACTTCGAGGAAATAACCGCCTACAACATCAGTCACAGTTGGAGAGCATCACTCTTGTAAAACGTTTAACATCAGACAGAGAGATATTGTGGGAAAAACCCCACCTCGCAACAGCAGGCAGTGTTGTAACAAGGTAACACTGGTTTTGTTTACAGTTAGCGCTATATCAGAAATTCTGACTTCTCATATCCTGTGAATATTAGTGGGAGGACACTGTTAGAGGCCAATACGCTAATAAACTGTTGATATTAACGAAACACATTGATCTAGTAGCATTGGGAGAGTTATTATTTGAGAGCCTTTTGCAATGTTCGAGAACACAGGACGTAGACTATGCTGGTAGATATCTTTTCTCCGAATTTTTTCATGTACACGTCATCGACATAATTATTTTTTCTTAATTATGAAATCATTCACCCTTTAAAATCATGGAACCATTTGGGATATTGCACCTCTTGTGATGGTGTCATGGTTTTCGATATGAATTTCACCACATGAAGATTCCGTTTCAGTCGCCTTGTAGCTTTCAACAATTTAAGCCCCTCTAAAAGATTTCTAGAAGAGCAATATAGGATACAGCTTGATTTTGGCTATAGTGTACCTTTTTAAAATGCGTATTGAACTTTGGTAATCACAGGTGTCTTAAGCCCAAACGTAAAGGCCAACCTGAGTGATTTGACAAATCGATTTTAAATTATTGTGAAGTCAAAGTGAACATTTGTGACAGTTTGATGTAAACACGGCCACGCGTTTGCTAGTAATACATATATTCAACAAAAAAAGAAAGGTTAACATGTTTCCTTGGCGAATACCTGTAAATGAGTGAAAACAAAATGACGTTTATGCAATATTAGAAAATGGTAATGTTTTACATTACAAAATCCAAGCGGGTTACCAAAATCATTCAAGCGTGAAAGTCTGTATTAGCGAAAGAGCTGCACGAGGTTTTCTGCCACTAACTTGTATCTTCGCTTGAATTTCATAAACATTCAAACTGACAACTGTTCCTTAGATCCTTAGGACTCAGAAATCACCGAATCTTGCTATCTATCAACTTTATCATTATGCCCCGGCTGTCACAAGTACAGAGAAAAAGGGCTGTAGGCATGATCCAGGCTGGGGAGTCTCGCTGTCGAGTTTTGGTTGCAGTGTTAAGACAATTTGCCAGTTGGTAAGTCGTTTAAACCAAACTGGGTCAACATCCGATCGTCCCCGACTCGTACCAGGCTTGTTGTGTTAAATTGCCATTTAACTGGCATTTGATATCGGGACGAAATTTTAAGACCAGTGGTTCTACCATTCTTAAGACGCCATGGCGTTGGCGCCATTTTTCAACAGGATAACGTACCAGCGCACACCAGTCGCGTCAGCAGAACTTTCTTGCAGCAGAATAACGTACAGATGTTAGATTGGCCATCTAAATCACCTGATTTGTCACCGATTGAGCATGTCTGGGACGTTCTTGGGCGACGCGTGAGAGAACGTCAAAATCAGCCGTCAGACTTGCAGGAGCTGGCCCAAGCCTTGATCGCTGAATGGAACAACATCTCTCCTCGAATTATCCGCCGGTTTACGAGTTCCATGCGACGACGCTGCAATGGTGTTTACTTCGCAAGCGGTGGCCATACCCGTTACTAATGGTGTTACCTTTGAAATTGACCCCAACGTCCTTTACAGTCGAATAAAATCAACTGAACGCAAAGTTTTATAAAGAACCATGACTGCAGTTTTATCAGAATTGATCAATTACTTTATTCGTACATGATTGGTAAGGATTTATAAAGGATTAATTAATTTATCACAGAATAAAGTAGTGTTACCGTTCTTTTTTGTATATATTCGATTACTACTGATTTTGATCTTTAACCGTATGTCTTTATGTAACACAGCTATTCCCCGTTTAACAAGGCGTGTTCACTAGGGAAACATGTCGGAAGATATTGTATGAAATGATGTATTTTGTATTGCTGTATTTCAAAACGAAATGTTACTTGTGAGTTAGCGTTACTTGAATGCATGATTTTGTTCGATGCTATATGTAATTCATTATAAAGGCATCCTTTCATTCATATTCAAATATACGTCAGGTATGGAAGGCTCTAGGTTATTCGACAGTGATAAAAATGAATCCAGATCTTTGATCAGTGTCCCTTATTTATTATAATATTGGGAACCATAAACTGTGAAAAACAATTGTGTAAGCCTGATATCACTGTGAGTAGGTCCTGTGGTCATAATTGATTACCGATATGACTGATTTTAAATTGTGTTATTGCTGCAGAATTCGACCGGAAGCGGATATGGACAATTACATCTCACTTTCATGATCGCTCGGAATGAATCTTACCAAACGTTGATACTGAAGTAGAGATTTGAGAATTATGTGGAACTTTATACCATGATTACCATATCGAAGAGCTACTACACCACTTGTCCTTTCTTGGTCTCAAACAAACTATTTGTATGCTGTTCAGCTGTATTTTCGTTGTCAGAATCCTTTGGAATATGAGTGGCTCTTTAATTGGATGAAGCCATAGGATTAAATTTGACATCCGTACTTGATTAAGAGATTTATTATGTTCGTTTAAAAATAATCGATCTCTGCTTGTGTGATCAAAAATACAAAGAACAAAAATAGAATTGATTGCTGGCAGAATGCTAAGATTGTTCTATGCCCTGAAAGTCAGTCACGACACTTTAGAAAAACACAGATTGTGTGATAGCATCAAAATATTGAATCACAACATTGTTCAAAGGAACATTGTTACATAATAACTACAATGACATTCATGAAGGAGCGAGATATTTGATTGCTCTCGTTCATCGTCACATGAAGTCGACTACATCGTGGGCGGAACAATTTCAAACGAAAGACGACTCACCGCTTAATGATGAAAAATCTCATAGGCCCAGTTTCGCTAAACTCATTCCGTAGTCTGTATATCTAATTAAACATCACAGATAATCCATTATTGCTATATTCGTCAAAGGAAATATTTTTACGATTTGACTTTAATACAAATAACATACAAAATAATACTGGAAAACTTGTTCATTTCCGTATCTCCCAGATTGCAATGCTCTTCAATAAGTTTTATAATACACTGTAAAATCATATATTTTCATGGAATTCTATTTACATAATTTCTTTTTCTAAAAAATTGCTGTTTCTCGGGCACTTGATTTCGACGATAAACACAGCTTACTACATCATTGACAGATGAATTCGTGGATTCAAAATACTACCGAAATCGTGGAAAATAAAACCCACTTAAAAATAACGATTTTACAGTAAATACAGTATATGTAAATCAATGTTAAACTCGTCCCATAATGACGTGTATCTTGTATACAGCTTATTTTACACAAATGGACGACGTAACGTCGTGTAAAATGTATCTTAATATAGACGACGTAATTCAACACATGGAACGAAAGGCACTCTGACCTTCTACACAATTTATTGAATAAGCTGCAAAGTTACAACTGTACAGTTAGGAATCATCATTTTTTATTAGGAAAAATATTCACACTAGAGCATTTTACACTATTGATGTGAAGGATTTGTCACTATCGATGTGAAAGTTATGTCACTATCGAGGTAAAAGTTTGTCATTATCGAATAAGTAGGGTTTTCAGTTCCTTTCTTCTTAAAATCAGGTGTTATTTTAAAAAAATTGTTTATACTGAAACCAATATTTTCTTCGTATATTGATTAAGCAACAGTGAAATATGTCTAACTTTCTTTCTGTTGTTCTGTAATCAATTATATTTCCAAGTAATGATGTCGCGATGGTTCCGTTGCAGCGGTCTGTAGATGAGGATGGTGTCAGCTGTCGTTCTGGGTGTTGTCTGCGGGGTCACAGGGGTCATTGTCGCCACCGTCATCGTGGTTATTTGTCGTCTGTACAAACGAAAATATCGTCACCGAGCATGTGTTCCACCGTGTGGCTATGACGCAGTTGGCGATTATAAACCTCCATCGCTGATGTCAATATCGTCAGGATCCCAGGTAAGTCCGCAACAGGTAATACCCATTTAAATGTATCAGGATCAAGGTAAGTCTGCAACAGGTAATACCCATTTACATGTATCAGGATCCCAGGTAAGTCTGCAACAGGTAATACCTATTTACATGTATCAAGATCACAGGTAAGTCCGCAACAGGTAATACCTATTTACATGTATCAAGATCACAGGTAAGTCCGCAACAGGTATAACCTATTAACATGCATCAGGACCCAGGTAAGTCTGCAACAGGTAATACCTATTTACATGTAGCAGGATCAAAGTGAGTCCGCAACAGGTATAACCTATTTACATGTAGCAGGATCAAAGTGAGTCCGCAACAGGTAATACCTATTTACATGTATCAGGATCCCAGGTAAGTCCGCAACAGGTAATACCTATTTACATGGATCAGGATCTAGGTTAAAACTTTCACTTTGAGATCACAATTGCGAAAGATGTTCATTTTGTGGGAAACAATGTCTTAATTGAAAGAGTCAAACACCAAAATTGTTTATGTATTTAAAGATTAACTATCAAATTACCTTTCAACTCGGGTAAATTAAATAACTGCTTAAAGTATACCAGAGTTTAATTTACAGAATAGAAAATTAAAACCTGTATTCATATCATTTCTTCATTAAAGTATAATTTCGTTTTTTATCCTTCCAAAGTTAATAGACTCAAAAATACTGAAAATTCAGTTTGTCGGTCTGAAGGCCACCAGGAAGAAACACCTACAGTTTTAGTTTTTTCTGATACCATAGCAACCAGATCGTTAAACAAGTCTTCGAAATGTCACATATATTCATATATCATTTTAGAAAAAAAATCAACGTGTATTCTTATGGGATTCCGTGAAAGTCAACCTCAAACGAACGTCATTTCGCGGAGTCACTTTAAAAAGAACAAGATTCAAACCCAGTTTCTAATATAACAATATTACGCAGAAGTCCTTCATTCATAACGTCATATCATTAGACAATCACTACCTGGGAGGTTCCCGATTTGTCCACTTTTAATTGGACAATGAAAAAGGTTGTTTATGGAGACATTGACAAATCGATTATAGGCAGTTCCCCACTAAACATAACGTTCACCTTAGTTCACTTACCTGTGATTTTACAGGAGTGGACTCTTACCGGAAATGCTATATCAGGGCGGCATAATACTGTATTATACGTCAATGCTATACTTGTTTTTAAAGACGTTTTTCTAAGTTCATGAAATAACACAAAATACAGTCATATAAAACTGATACGATTATGCTACACTTCATATAATAGAATATGAGTTCTTATATCACAACCAATATTTCGCTTCTGTTGATATTACAAACCTGGAGAAAATGTTCTGATATTATACATAATATTACAACTGTTGACATGAAATATGTACAATAAAATTACATTTCGTTATGCAAATTACATGTAATATTCCATTTTTGGCATGGTAAGCATACCAGGATATTACATTTATTAATACATATAATTGTATATTAATTTCTTACAGGGACGTATAATACAAAGTGATATCATACGTCCCTGATTTCTAGATACATATGAAAAACAATAATATAACATTGACTGATATGATGAACAACACAGGTACAAAAAATGCATGATATAGATACATATCTTAACAGTTAAGCACATTACACTTTATAGTAAACACTTCAGAAGGAGTTCTTTCCAAGTGCAGATAATGTGATGCTGCGTTTGCGTACTACATGATGTTTATCCTCTGAATCTGAATCCTTTAGATGGGTCAGTCTGTTGTTGCTGTTTCGGTATTGTTTCTCAAGAGGTCTTGTTGCTCCTCTAGTATCGTTCTGTATCCTGATAATTTCGTTGGCGGCCTGAATATATAGGAACACTCTGATCATGGTGTATATTATGTGGTGTAATTGACGTACCCTCTTCTTAAACTTCCCATGCCATGCTACCAAATGTTACATGGTGTGAGGTATCTGTCCAAGGATGCTAAGGGTAGCACAGGAGTGAAGGCAACAACACTTTCTATTTGATCGTTCTCTCATACAAGTTGTTGATGTCCGATTTGCTGGGGTTTGATCCAGATGCAGTAAGTAAAGAGAGATAAAGGTATCCCTTGGATGGTCATTCCTGGAAACATATGGTAAGGCGTTGTGGCTTGTTCTCTCCAAGTCAGAAAAGTTTGTTATAGGACGCCTAGAGGGAGGTTTAAGTCAGTCGTGGTCGTCTTTAGTGGAGTCAAAAGCGGGTCTACAGCTGCTGGGATTTTGAACCAGTTGTAGCATGTAGACACGTTCATCGCTACTAATTATTTAGCGCAGGCATTTGCATTAGGTAGATGGCTTCGGTAATTAAGCAATATAAATAAACATGATTAAATAAAAAAAAATTACTTAAATTGTTCTAATTTAGATATATCATGTTCAAAATAGATCTTAAATTTGAATTAACTTTAGCCTTCAATGAATTGAATATAATGAATTATAAAAAAACATTCATTTTGTCGTTATTTTCGGTGTTAAATTAGCAGTGAGTAAGATTACATAACACGTGATTTGTTTTTACCTCTCAATGAAATTCTTGTCATTTTATATGTTATCAACTTCCAACATATGCTAGATTGCACAGGTAACAATACGTAAAACACGGGTAAAAACACAGGTAATACAGGTAAATTAATCTGAAATAGACTATACCGTCCCTACTACATTCCTTTCTTACATGTTATTTTAAAACGAGGGGCAAACAAGGATACGGCTCATTATCCGTGTATGATGATGATCAGAATAACAAGGGTTATACAGTCAGTGACATAGGCATCATAAAGACAGATTGAAGGTCTGGATGGTGTAGTCTTTCTGTTGTGGAGTGAATATATAGACTCTCAGACAGACAATGGCACACACAGACTGTAGTTCCCCGTTTCCATAAACATCGCGACAATTCATGCCTTATTTGATGATTGTCTTCCTTTAAAGAAATCCAATTTTGTTTGCCACTGTCATTCTTCTTTGTGGGGTTGTTCGATTTACTCACACAACGCAACTCGTGGACAAGGTTGTCAACATCAGTCGCTGTCGAAAGTCGGGCAGGTGGCACCTAAGTACAAGTATCAAGCCTAACGAGAAGAATTCACGCAGATGATACGTTTGATACCACTGATTTGTCATTATGATATATTGTGGGTAATAATTGTCCAGACGACATATATAATTCTCGGTATTTCAGCACGTAAACAGCTTTATACCAGGCAAGGCTTGTAGTTTGATCCGTCTCATTAGGTTGAAGCCAAGTAAGTGTCTCAAATTTACCGTTGGGGATATACAAACAAAACAGCCCTAATCTTTCTGACATAATATGTCTTCAGTGTAAAGCGTGTGCATTACGTACATTAAATATACATGAAAATCGAACTACACGACCGAAAAGATAAAATATCTTTAAATCCCCTAAAAAAGAGAACAAAGACACAAAATGGGTACGCTTTACTCGGAAATGATATTCCCACAGATGCATAATCCCATGTACAGTGCCAACTCGAAAAGACATTATGTACATCACAATCGCCGAATCTATTAGTATCACGTGGAAATGTCAGAAAGCTGATCACCGTCAAATTTCTCCCACTTCCGACACAAAAAAACTTATAAAACAACAAAAATGGGAACAACTGGACAACCGTCCGAGGAGCAGAACATACCGAAAATCGTTGATCAAACAACAACAAAATAACAATTTGTATAGAAGATCCCAATATTTCCAGAATGCCCTACCCCACCTATGAATTAATTAGTCAAGAAGTTGTTTATTTCATTTATGTGTTAGGAAACGGTTTAATTTCTCAGAGATAAGATATACGTGGATAAACCTTAAATATGTTTTACTGAACTTTTAACACTTAATTTCTTTAGCAGGTGAACTTACATTAATAAGGTATGCCCAATAGTCACGATAAGACAGATTGGATAGAAAGAGTTTCTAAATTAAGATTTAACTTTTGACCTCTTCATTTACAATCATGTCAGTAGTTTGGCTTGAACTTGATCGTGATTGTCATCACCGCGTTTAATCAAATACATATTGTGAATGAATATTTGATACATGTAATCATTAAATCTCGAGTATAATGTTCCTTTTGTCTATAGCAGTGTAATTAGTTCCGAATATAAACCTACAAGAGCCGTGAAAGCGTTGCGGCGTTCTTTACTGCACTACAACATGACAGAAATGTTGGAGACTTCCTAATCAATATTACTCTCATCGAAATCAAAGGTTTTGCAGACAGTTGCTAGCATTTCATATCCGTACCTTTTACAGAAATGTCTTGATTTAATAAGACAGACAGACTGTCTTCATTTCCACATTTTCATTGAGATTATAAGCTTATGTAGTGCAGAATATTATGTAAAGATGGATATTACTTAGTAAAGATAAGAATAATTTAACAGTCCAATGCTTTCATGATTTGTTCTGATATCTTTTCATTCATTTTCATGTACATTTAAGGTATCACTTTCGCTAAGCATTTCATCATCTTCGCCCATTCATTTCATATTATTTGACCGTTTATCAAAAAATTAATCCCGTTTGTTCTCTCTCACTCATTTCGGCGAATTTCACGGAGTCGTGTTCCCGCTGTACAGTTAACAACTGTTTCTAGAAATAAATTCCTTTCGGCAAACGGAATATGACATTCTATCATAAAATTAACAACAATGTCAGTGACATAGTTTGCAAACGACAGAAACAGCTACTGATATGAACAACATATTTATTAATTCGGGCACTATTGCCATGTTTCCTTAACATCATATTAAGATCGTTTCAACGAGGGGTGCATTTCTCGTTTCACAAGGATTCTGGGGAAATGTGCAGAACGTCATTTTGTGTCGAGCGTCCCCTTCCATTTAATCTCCTCGTACGTTTGTTTCACTCTTATATACTGTTAGTGTCATCTCGTATGTAACTGTATTTATATCAATCAGTTTGTGTCCGGCTGCTGACATGTTTTATCGCATTATACATAAACTATGTTAAAATGTGAGGAATAATTTAACTAGGTTTCCTAATCTTAAACAGTGCATTCCGAAAAATAAAGCAAAACACGTTATTTCTCTTTTTCTTTCTATCAATTCAAATATCGAATTTTCTATAACACACGTATAAATTCGTTTTCTTTAACCTTGGTGGGATACATGTACCTTAAAAGGTAATACTGTGCACATGATGGTATAGTTTTTAACAAAAAACATGTTTTATATAAATTCAAGAGACGGATTAACGGTGTTACCTATATTTTTATCCATCAGCATTATAGAAAATTCAACATATTAAGGCTAATAGCAAATGCTTATTCAATAAAGTAACATAAAAATGTCATAATAGACATGCATTGGTTCGCCTCATTCAAGTCACTGTAACGTTTACATCTGTCGCCGCTATACAACACTCCGTGGGTAAAGCGATTTGTGTTAAGTCTGTATTGAGGAGCAAATGTTTTTCTATACTACAAGCCAGACTAAAACCTTTTTGATAAAATACCGATTACACACATTCTCGGAGTGACCAGTAAGCTAGAGACTGACGACGTCAGAGTATTAATCCTAGAAGGTATGTCTGTGAAGCTATCTGTCTGATAGGGTCATGGGGGTGTGTCTCAACAGACTCCTATATGGTATAGCTGAGGAGGATGTGGAAGTACTGACTGGCCCAAGGGTACTCGCTAATTACACTAGAGGAGAGGTAATTACTAACACGAAACGGTCACTATTCTGAAATGTGGAAAATATTTACCCACTCTTTGTGGATGTAGACGTGGCATAGTGTGTATTGGATACTTTACCGGGAACATGTTCAATGTACACATATGTAGTTGTTTCTTAAGCTGTCTGTGTCTGAAATTATTTAAGCCTGGGCTTAGACGGCGATTTCTAAGAACGAATTTTAGGAAACAAGAGGCGAAAAAATATAGCCTCGAGTGTCACTGCTAAAGGAAAGACCATATTAGCATCATTACAGTAGAAAATGAATCTGATTTATATAATTTTCTCCTATAAATACTTGGACAGTTCTTCCAGATTTTACACACTTGCAAGATAAATCTTTGTTACTGACGTAAACTAGATTATCGACATGCTGGCTGATCATAATTTTGTTAAATTGGATACTCTTTTTACTTGTTTTAGGACGTACAGCTGACAAAGGAACACCGCACAATCCAGCCTAGGTCAACGTCCATCACCTCTCGGACAAGTATCTCCACCATGTCTCGTGGTAGCATAAGAAGCGACACTCTTACGGAGGAAACAAGCAGTATTAGCGCACGAAGTGACACGAGTGTTGACAGTTGCATATTTGACCCCTCGTTTGGTAAGTTTTTCAAAGGTTTTTTTTTTTTTAAATGTACTGCCTTTAGACGTTTTGTCAATGTGACACATCAGTATTCTTACAATTTCTCGCCTGAAAATGTGGGATCTTCCTTGTTCGGGATGGAATGTCAAATACATCTATGAGTGCTAACTGAATTACTATAAAATTGAGAATTCTGTAAGTTCATAACATTTCTGTGTCAGTTTTGAATTCAAATCATCTGCAGGAGGAAATCTCGAGACTTATAAAAGCATTTTCCCCCGTATTAAGATTAAACAGATTTACCTTGGATTTCAATATGCAGTTCCACCTGGTGTTATTGCATGTATTTCTAGAATACAGATTAACACTTCATAACATCGTGTACCCATCGTCGAGTTGAATTGCCCTTTGCAGTATTTATCATGACACTCATTTACGGATTATTATCGCTGTCTCACGGTATGCTTCATCTGCTACAATATCATTTTCAAATTGCTGTGTCTTATAAACGATCGGTCAATGTAATTCACAGTTATTTTCGCGACGTTGAATGTCCACGTGACTGAGGAATGTAAGTATATAATACTAATTCTATCGATCACCTGCTTTCTACCTTGTATGTGTGCGCTAGGTGTAGCGGACTATTTTTTAGAACTCTTCATAAATGCCAGTTACAATAGAACCTACTATGAATCTACCCATAGGTGCGATCCGTCCTGACCTGTACCCGCGCAAAGATGCTGTCCTCCAGCAGTCATCGGTGGACCAGAACCTCGGAAGGCTTCATATACGTCTCAAGTACGACTTCCGAACATCTGATGTTATCATTCACCTGATTGAAGGTATTTAGCATTATATATTAATTGTACATACGAGGGAGGACATCCTTACTTGCGATGTTTGTGGAACAGAGTTCCTTAAACATTGCGTCTACCGCTTACATCAACTTCTACTCTTAAATATAAAAATGGCGCAGTATGTTTCCATTGATCAGAACAGTGATCTAGACATTGTGACACCGTAGCTTTGGTCTTTGGTGCAGTGCTTGGTGTCATTAGCACATCTTGTAGTTGTGTTCTAGATCATCCTATTCTCATTCAGGAAAGTGACATTACTAACTTGGAATGAACAAGATAAGAAGACGATTCTGGAACACGAAATCTTATTCACATTAGACATTTTCTTGGTCTCCATTCAAATCAACCATGTGTTTATATTTTTACTCATTTGGTCGAATTTGAGTTTTGAAGTAAGATTCTGTTGGCATGCCGTATTTTCTAGTCTTATTCTTTTTTTTTATATTTTTTTTGTATGCGTTTTTGATTTTTGTTTTTGTCTTTTTAATTTTTAATTTTAATTATTGAGGGTTTTCCTCACTATTGATTAACCTAATTATTAACAGAGACTAAACCTACCTACAAAGTGAATACTCCTAATAGGTTTTTTTATTATAAATTTGGCTTTTAGTTCGCTTCAATGTCTTAATTCCAAATTTTAACAACGTTGTTTCCGGTTTACAAACGCACAATACGGAATTTTAACATGGAGTGAACGACCTTAATTATCAATATGTAATACGTAGTATTCATTGTAAAAGTCGTACATATGTTCGGTATCAATATTACATATCACCACTCGCTAAAATGTTATATAGAAAGGGCATGATGCTGGTGATGACCATTCCTACTGTAGTTGTATTAACACGCCTTGATTTTAATTATACATTAATGAACGTTCTTGCTTCTTCATCGATGGCACCCACCATGTAAATATTAGTCAACCAGAAGTAACACCATGCTAATATTAGTCAGTCAGTAACATCATGTAAATATTAGTCAATCTGAAGTAACACCATGTAAATATTTGTCAATCTGTAGTAACACCAGTAAATATTAGTCAAACAGAAGTAACACCATGTAAATATTTGTCAATCTGTAGTAACACCATGTAAATATTAGTCAACCAGAAGTAACACCATGCTAATATTAGTCAGTCAGTAACATCATGTAAATATTAGTCAATCTGAAGTAACACCAGTAAATATTTGTCAATCTGTAGTAACACCATGTAAATATTAGTCAATCTGTAGTAACACCATGTAAATATTAGTCAATCTGAAGTAACACCATGTAAATATTAGTCAATCTGAAGTAACACCAGTAAATATTTGTCAATCAGAAGTAACACCATGTAAATATTAGTCAATCTGTAGTAACACCATGTAAATATTAGTCAAACAGAAGTAACACCAGTAAATATTAGTCAATCTGAAGTAACACCATGTAAATATTAGTCAATCTGAAGTAACACCAGTAAATATTTGTCAATCAGAAGTAACACCATGTAAATATTAGTCAATCTGTAGTAACACCATGTAAATATTAGTCAATCTGAAGTAACACCATGTAAATATTAGTCAATCTGAAGTAACACCATGTAAATATTAGTCAATCTGAAATAACACCAGTAAATATTAGTCAATCTGAAGTAACACCAGTAAATATTTGTCAATCTGAAGTAACACCATGTAAATATTAGTCAATCTGAATTAACACCATGTAAATATTAGTCAATCTGAAATAACACCAGTAAATATTTGTCAATCTGAAGTAACACCAGTAAATATTTGTCAATCTGAAGTAACACCAGTAAATATTAGTCAATCAGTAACACCAGTAAATATTAGTCAATCAGTAACACCATGTAAATATTAGTCAATCTGTAGTAACACCATGTAAATATTAGTCAATCTGAAGTAACACCATGTAAATATTAGTCAATCTGAAGTAACACCATGTAAATATTAGTCAATCTGAAGTAACACCATGTAAATATTAGTCAATCTGAAGTAACACCAGTAAATATTTGTCAATCTGAAGTAACACCAGTAAATATTTGTCAATCTGAAGTAACACCAGTAAATATTTGTCAATCTGAAGTAACACCAGTAAATATTAGTCAATCAGTAACACCAGTAAATATTAGTCAATCAGTAACACCATGTAAATATTAGTCAATCTGAAGTAACACCATGTTGATATTAGTCAATCTGAAGTAACACCAGTAAATATTAGTCAAACAGAAGTAACACCATGTTAAAATTAGTCAATCTGTAGTAACACCATGTAAATATTAGTCAATCTGTAGTAACACCATGTAAATATTAGTCAATCTGAAGTAACACCATGTAAATATTAGTCAATCTGAAGTAACACCATGTAAATATTAGTCAATCTGAAGTAACACCATGTAAATATTAGTCAATCTGAAATAACACCAGTAAATATTTGTCAATCTGAAGTAACACCAGTAAATATTTGTCAATCTGAAGTAACACCAGTAAATATTAGTCAATCAGTAACACCAGTAAATATTAGTCAATCAGTAACACCATGTAAATATTAGTCAATCTGAAGTAACACCATGTTGATATTAGTCAATCTGAAGTAACACCAGTAAATATTAGTCAAACAGAAGTAACACCATGTTAAAATTAGTCAATCTGTAGTAACACCATGTAAATATTAGTCAATCTGAAGTAACACCAGTAAATATTTGTCAATCAGAAGTAACACCATGTAAATATTTGTTAATCTGTAGTAACACCATGTAAATATTAGTCAATCTGAAGTAACACCATGTAAATATTAGTCAATCAGAAGTAACACCATGTAAATATTAGTCAATCAGAAGTAACACCAGTAAATATTAGTCAATCTGAAGTAACATCATGTATATATTAGTCAATCTGTAGTAACACCATGTAAATATTAGTCAAACAGAAGTAACACCAGTAAATATTAGTCAATCTGAAGTAACACCAGTAAATATTTGTCAATTTGAAGTAACACCATGTAAATATTAGTCAATCTGTAGTAACACCAGTAAATATTAGTCAATCAGAAGTAACACCATGTAAATATTAGTCAATCTGTAGTAACACCATGTAAATATTAGTCAAACAGAAGTAACACCAGTAAATATTTGTCAATCAGAAGTAACACCATGTAAATATTAGTCAATCTGTAGTAACACCATGTAAATATTAGTAGTAACACCAGTAAATATTAGTCAATCAGAAGTAACACCATGTAAATATTAGTCAATCTGTAGTAACACCATGTAAATATTAGTCAAACAGAAGTAACACCAGTAAATATTAGTCAATCTGAAGTAACACCATGTAAATATTAGTCAATCTGAAGTAACATCAGTAAATATTAGTCAATCTGTAGTAACACCATGTTAATATTAGTCAATCTGAAGTAACACCATGTAAATATTTGTCAATCTGTAGTAACACCATGTTAATATTAGTCAATCTGAAGTAACACCATGTAAATATTAGTCAGTCAGAAGTAACACCATGTAAATATTAGTCAGTCAGAAGTAACACCATGTAAATATTTGTCAATCTGAAGTAACACCATGTAAATATTAGTCAATCTGAAGTAACACCAGTACATATTTGTCAATCTGTAGTAACACCATGTAAATATTAGTCAATCTGAAGTAACACCATGTAAATATTTGTCAATCTGAAGTAACACCAGTAAATATTAGTCAAACAGAAGTAACACCATGTAAATATTTGTCAATCTGAAGTAACACCAGTAAATATTTGTCAATCTGAAGTAACACCAGTAAATATTTGTCAATCTGTAGTAACACCATGTAAATATTTGTCAATCTGAAGTAACACCATGTAAATATTTGTCAATCTGAAGTAACACCATGTAAATATTAGTCAATCTGTAGTAACACCATGTAAATATTTGTCAATCTGAAGTAACACCATGTAAATATTAGTCAATCTGAAGTAACACCATGTTGATATTAGTCAATCTGAAGTAACACCAGTAAATATTAGTCAAACAGAAGTAACACCATGTTAAAATTAGTCAATCTGTAGTAACACCATGTAAATATTAGTCAATCTGAAGTAACACCAGTAAATATTTGTTAATCTGTAGTAACACCATGTAAATATTAGTCAAACAGAAGTAACACCAGTAAATATTAGTCAATCAGAAGTAACACCATGTAAATATTAGTCAATCTGTAGTAACACCATGTAAATATTAGTCAAACAGAAGTAACACCAGTAAATATTAGTCAATCTGAAGTAACACCAGTAAATATTTGTCAATCAGAAGTAACACCATGTAAATATTAGTCAATCTGTAGTAACACCATGTAAATATTAGTCAATCTGAAGTAACACCAGTAAATATTAGTCAATCTGAAGTAACACCATGTAAATATTAGTCAATCTGAAGTAACACCAGTAAATATTAGTCAATCTGTAGTAACACCATGTAAATATTAGTCAATCTGAAGTAACACCAGTAAATATTAGTCAATCTGAAGTAACACCAGTAAATATTAGTCAAACAGAAGTAACACCATGTAAATATTAGTCAATCTGTAGTAACACCATGTAAATATTAGTCAAACAGAAGTAACACCAGTAAATATTAGTCAATCTGAAGTAACACCATGTAAATATTAGTCAGTCAGTAACATCATGTAAATATTAGTCAGTCAGTAACATCATGTAAATATTAGTCAATCTGAAGTAACATCAGTAAATCTTTGTCAATCTGAAATAACACCATGTAAATATTTGTCAATCTGAAGTAACACCATGTAAATATTAGTCAATCTGAAGTAACACCATGTAAATATTAGTCAATCTGAAATAACACCATGTAAATATTTGTCAATCTGAAGTAACACCATGTAAATATTAGTCAATCTGAAGTAACACCATGTAAATATTTGTCAATCTGTAGTAACACCATGTAAATATTTGTCAATCTGAAGTAACACCATGTAAATATTAGTCAATCTGAAGTAACACCATGTAAATATTAGTCAATCTGAAGTAACACCATGTAAATATTAGTCAATCTGAAGTAACATCAGTAAATATTTGTCAATCTGTAGTAACACCATGTAAATATTAGTCAGTCAGTAACATCATGTAAATATTAGTCAATCTGAAGTAACACCATGTAAATATTTGTCAATCTGAAGTAACACCAGTAAATATTAGTCAATCAGAAGTAACACCATGTAAATATTAGTCAATCTGAAGTAACACCATGTAAATATTAGTCAATCTGAAGTAACACCAGTAAATATTAGTCAATCTGAAGTAACACCAGTAAATATTAGTCAATCTGTAGTAACACCATGTAAATATTTGTCAATCTGTAGTAACATCATGTAAATATTAGTCAATCTGTAGTAACACCATGTAAATATTAGTCAATCTGAAGTAACACCAGTAAATATTAGTCAATCTGAAGTAACACCATGTAAATATTAGTCAATCTGAAGTAACACCAGTAAATATTTGTCAATCTGAAGTAACACCATGTAAATATTTGTCAATCTGAAGTAACACCATGTAAATATTAGTCAATCTGAATTAACACCATGTAAATATTAGTCAACCAGAAGTAACACCATGTAAATATTAGTCAATCTGAAGTAACACCATGTAAATATTAGTCAATCAGAAGTAACACCATGTAAATATTAGTCAATAACACCAGAAGTAACAGAAGTAACACCATGTAAATATTAGTCAATCTGTAGTAACACCATGTAAATATTAGTCAAACAGAAGTAACACCATGTATATATTAGTCAATCTGTAGTAACACCATGTAAATATTAGTCAATCTGAAGTAACACCATGTAAATATTAGTCAATCAGAAGTAACACCATGTAAATATTAGTCAATCTGTAGTAACACCATGTAAATATTAGTCAATCTGAAGTAACACCAGTAAATATTAGTCAATCAGAAGTAACACCATGTAAATATTAGTCAATCTGTAGTAACACCATGTAAATATTAGTCAAACAGAAGTAACACCATGTATATATTAGTCAATCTGAAGTAACACCATGTAAATATTAGTCAGTCAGTAACATCATGTAAATATTAGTCAGTCAGTAACATCATGTAAATATTAGTCAGTCAGTAACATTATGTAAATATTAGTCAGTCAGAAGTAACACCAGTAAATATTAGTCAATCTGAAGTAACACCATGTTAATATTAGTCAATCTGAAGTAACACCGTATTTATATTAGTCGAACAGAAGTAACACCATGTTGATATTAGTGAATCAGACGTGAGATAAAAGACAACAGAACTCATAAGGCACACTAACGAGCATCAAACCCCTCCACTTTCCTATCACACAGAAGATAGAACATTTCCTGAAGAGACCATTATGGCAGCCGTAAAAGCCCTCAAAACTCCAACGAAACTTTTTTGGAGGTCATCTATCAGTCAACTATCTATTAACATTTTCCACTAAAATTGTGATGTCGGGGTCAACCCTTCAAATGAGTAAGGCTCGATTTTGCCTTTCCTGACATAGTAACGTAACAAATTAATGCCTTCAAGTATAGCCGAATCTCTCTCATTAAGAAACATAAATTGTATTAAATGTGCTATGCACTTTGAGAGTCTTTTGTACAATCTTGATTTTAGATTGTAGATACTGCTGGCGGTATTTTAGTCCCCGAGATTAGCCGTAATCTGAATGTCACGAACAGTGTCAAGGTTAAGAATAAACACATGTATTTAACGTTGTTCTTTAATTATCAGTTATATGAATGTAACCCTGGTACGAACTTATAGAATTATATTGCTCGCCTAGAAAAAGAGCTTCGCTTTAGCTCGATCAGTTGGTATCAGACTAGCGAGCCAGAGGTCCCGAGTTCATTAGTGGAGGAATTCAGATAAAATAATGAACTCTGTTATATCAACTTACAATGTACAATAACATTATAATTACGAAAATTGAATCGTGTAACTGGGACACCTCTCCGTCTGTATTATAACTATTCTTTTCACCACTTTGAATTTTCCTCAGTTAACTCCTAGGCTTCCAAACTAATTAGTCTTAGAAATAAGAACAGTTGTATTATGCAGTTTAATCTATTGTTTGTACAATCTATGACAAAGATTTACATGTCGGAATACTTGGCATCATCATTTCTGAACTTTTTCATTTGTAAATCTTTCTGTTGACCAAGTTTTGCCTTCGTTTAGTCGATTTTGAAATATAACTAAGATAGATATGTTATTCTATTGTCGCAGAAATGCATATTATTTGTTACAATTTAAAGGGTTTCAATCGAAAGGATAGAGTCATTTTCTTAAATGGCATAAGCGATCCAGTTTTATCGTTATCTTTAGTGTCATGTTGCTAACCCTCTAACAGAACGAACGTGCTTGATACGGCAAAAACCCCATAGTTCGTGTTTCTTTGCACTTTTAACTCTGCAACTGCAATCATATTGTCTCTGCATGTCGTTGCTTGCGTTCATTTTCTAATGTCCTGTAATATCGGTTTTATAAAACCAACGTGTGACTCGGAGCTTATAACCATGTGGATACCTCTTTAGATGTTACTGTTTACTTCATGACGGTTCTTGTGAATTGTATATCATGTTCTACATTCTCAGTTGTTTGAATCTAGGATATAAAATATTAGAGTTGAGCATTTTGTAATTGTTATGTGTATGCCTAAGCTGTATTTATCATTAAAACTTCTTGGAAAATGTTAGATTGATATAGAAGGATATTTACTTTTTACTTTTTTACTTTTTATGAATGTATTAATTTCTGAATTTTAGTTCATTGTTTGTCGGGATACTATTCTAAAGGCTCTCCTCGATAAAGATAAACCAACGATTCTACTAAATTCACACCGAACAAAAGCCCTTTTGTTACATTTTGTGATATGCGCATATTTTACGTAATATACCGTTATCAGTTTGTAGTATATACTGATATAAATACATTGTCCATGATAGATAGAACGTCGCTCATTAAGGTGACATGATATGGTGACATCCTATTCATCTGACACCCAAATTGTATTCATATTGTCTGTATACTACAAGCTGGTAACAGTTAAACTTTTATACTTGTACTCATATACAATTTTCATCATCCGAAACAAAACAACAATTACCATTACATGTTGAACCAAATACTAACGTCAGCGAGTTCAAATCCATGAAAAGCCGAAATTATTTAGTTCTTTGTGATTATGAATGACAAGCCAACAAAATAATGTTGTCACAAATTAAACTATTTTACATAAAAGTAAACTGTTTAATAATGAAGTATTTTATTTGGTTGTTCGTTTAAAATAAAAGCAGTTTATTGCGCATTGACATTTAATCAAAAAGTGATTTGGTTCACATATTTCACAAGGGGATGTGTCCAGTGTTTTTTCCAGAATTGTTTACGTTTTCATGTCATGGGGGTGGATTGATGTCATTTTCAGAATAGAAATAACCATTATAAATGGAATTCTCTCCTGTCTGTAGGTGAGGTTAACTAATTCTCTGTGTGAACTGTCAGATCGACGTCTGGCAGACAGAGTTGACAAACTTGGTAATCTCGTATATAATGGCGATGATAAGGACTTTAAGGCAAATTAGATAGTTGACAAAAAAATGTTCCGATATTAGTACATACCTTTGTAACGTTATATATCAGTAAATTGTTACCAAAAGTGGCCAACAGCCATTTTTCAATCTATCTAGCTGTATTCCTTCACTGACATAAACACTGCTGATTCTAGTGTACAGCCTGGTACACTACAATTTGGCGATCTAAGGATTTGTAGGCGAATGAAACGTAAAGTGTAACATATGGCAGAAATGGCATATATATATCCATACAGATAATGATGATATGATCTTAATATGGCCTAAGGTCAAGGGTCATTCCAAAAAGGCATCATATCCTGCCATCCACATTATATGAATGGGTTATCATCCTGAATAGAATAGGATTTCATGGTCAAAACAGGGCAATTATTCACTTCCGTGTTCTAAGATTTTGTTTGATTTCGTGCTACAAGTACTTAGTGCGTGTGTGTCTAGGTATGTACATGTGCTCAAACACATTCTAGATGGGATCGCTGTTTCAGATCTCACTGATTTCTCAAATGCACTGTAAATAGTTATAGTAATCTAGCTTAAAAGTAGTGATTTTTTTTCACAGCCCAAGATTTAATATCGAGCGAAAAGGACTCTGATGGAGGGAGCTTCGGAGACCCCTATGTTCGGTTAGCTATTCTGCCGGAAGTGGACGAGCGGATCCGCCAGTCATCTGTTAAACGGAAAACGTGCAATCCATTCTATAACGAATATTTCAAGTTCCCACTGACAATAGATGATGTGCGGGACAAGACTTTAGTGTTTCACATATACGACTATGATAAGTTTTCACGACACAAGATCATTGGTGAAGTACAAGTGGATCTCCGTAAAGTGGACGTGACCAACAGCGTGGAGATGTGGTGTGATATCATAAAACACCACAAGGTTAGTAAAATGTGGACACTGGGTTGGCGGGTTTCGTGTGTAATTACTGTGTGTTAGTACTGGTGCTGAAGGAGTACCCAGGTGTACCCGTATTGTGATCAATATGTTATGTTGTTGTTAAGCTGGCATTACTTAGATCCAGGATGTTTACTTTGTGTGGAAAGGCGTTGATATGTTTGTGTCTTTGGGTTTTGTGTAAGATATATATCCAGTATTGGTCGTGAGGTTTTGTCCTTGTCAGAGGAAAAACATTGCATCCAAACTGACGTCTTAGTTGTATCACAACTGCAACCATTTTAATTCTGTAATTGTGAATGTTCTCATTCGTAATAATACCATGTTATCATTGTTTGTAGGTCTCATTCTTTTGTTCGTCACTGTCACATTGTCATTTCAATTTAAAGTGTGACTTCAAATGTAATTCTCTCTTTGTTGAGATCCTTAGATTTCTCTTTGATGATGGTACATTACTCCATACTCATTTAGTGTTTTATCCGATTTATACGGAGGATCTCATCAATTTCGGAAACTTTCCGAAACACTTAAGACGATTTTTTGTTTAATTCGTTTTGGATTCGTTGGGCTTGGAAAAAACGTCTGTGATGTTTTAATGGTAATGATATTGTATTTCAGCTGTGATATTTTCATATGTTTTAGTATTAATTTCTATATGAATCCATTTGCTATTAAGAAAACTTCTGTAATCTATGCTTGCCATATATCAAAACATAGATTTCTAGTGGATACAATTTTCCAGGAACATGAATTTCTGAGAGACTACGAGACTGAACAGATAACAAATTGAAAATTGATGCATGATCATTTTGAATTTTGAATGCATACTGTGTGGAATGTCGAAATACTGTATCATTTTGTAATGATAAATAGATTATTTAAAATGTCTTTCCTACTTAAATGTGACAAAAAATTGAAAACAGATAATCAATTAAAAAAAATAGGGCAAACAATAGGCAAACAATAGGGCAAAAAGCACAATGAAAAACAAAGCAGGCATGTACTCGGCTATCCTGTTAAGGCGGGATTTACATCGACCATTTTTTCGGGGGATTCAACGTTTCCCTTACATCACTGTTCTACAATGTACATGGTATTCACCGGTCAGTGTTATATTGTAGTTTTCGAAATGCATCGTGGAACAATGTATCTGCTTCTGTAGCAGTTTGATTTTTAGTTAGTTCAGTATCTGAAGAACCTAATTTAAAAAAAAAAAATAATCGAAATCGATCGATGTGTTTAGAAGTTATCAAAGTGATATTACATATACACATAAGAATACATTGATAAAAGATATATAAATGTCTTGAATTGTTCATTTTTAATTTATGCATCCATATATATGTGAGTTGCAATGCACTATACAATAGATTGAAGTGTTTCAGATTTTGTTACTGGTTTCTGTGAAGTGCATGTTTTTACAGTGAGCATATTGTTGTGATTTTATCAGGCTTATTGTTACGGCTGTTGAAGATGATTATCAACTATATTTGGGTACAAATTTAGGTGTAACCATCCCAGTCATAAGACCTTACGGGAAACAAAGGATTAGACAAAAAAATACGGAACTTTGTTATTTGGCCTGTTGACTGTCATGACAACTGCCAATGACGACTTATCCTTGTGGTTTATTCCGTCTAATTTTAGCTTAGCCATGATTGCAGCGATACGGTCTCTATCAGGTTGACGTGTGTTTCCGGTCCGGGTAATGTCTTCTGTCAAATGACCGTGTGATTACCAGTGTTGGTTCGGAACTTATATGCTACCTGTCAGATCGGCAGCGTGTAGGGAAGTTCAGATCCAGTCTACATTCAAGGCTGACACGGGTTATAAGACGAAAATCAATGCAAATAACACCGGTCTATATTACTTTGTACGGTGCGTCCGGGAAACGTCCATCTCTGATGATAGTAAATTGTAAGGTTGTGGTATCATATTACTGTAAGGACCATTTTTTGATAGAATATACTACACATGGAACTTGCATTCAAAAGACAATTTTGACACATTTACAATGAGAATGACACAGGAAACATGTTCCTAGCAACAAAGGTGCTGGCGTTACGTCATAGTGAACGTATTAAAATGTTGACTTTTTTATGTTCAGTTATCACCGGAAGGAGAATCGTTGACTATGGTAATGCTCAGTGAACCATTATGCTAAAATTGTATAAAATGTTGTTATTCACTTGTGTGTCTTTCGTATAATATGTGACGTTGCAGATGATAGACATTGTTGAAAGACTGTTTGTACCCGATGTTTGCCATAATCTATATGGTACGTTTCATAATATACGGTGAACATGTGCACTTGATGGTTTTTAAATATTGACCAAATATATACAAAATACAAAACGTATTTAATTAAAGAGCTAGTCCATCTCTTTATCTTGAATTTCATGTTTCTTTCCATCACGTTGGCTTACTAAGTCACCTTATATCATCACTGACGTTTCCTTGAAGGACGAACAGACGTATGATGCAGTATCATTCATTGTTTGGTTGTGCGATACCTGATTCTAAATAGAAAGATGCTATTCACTTCAATTACAATTTGAAGGCAAGTACATTGGAGTTTTATTAGATAAAAAGATTACTGGTAAACAAACTCCAAAGATACGCTTGCTGTTTTTATGAAAAATCCTCGTCTATTACCTCAGTTTAATTCAATCTAATCGCCTTGCCCACTTACTTTATTGAAAGGACTATAAGCGGAACACCTGCCATTTTCAGGACTTAGATTTGCTTTTGAAGTTTCCGGGAACACGTTTGTCGTGCTCTCGGATTATCAAAAGATGTCTATAAGGGATACCACATGCATTTAAAAGCATGTTCATTAGAACTAACCAAGTAGTTCTTTTAATCCAATAAAGCATTAGATAAAGTGGATGTTTGCTAATAAATAGATAAATAAACAGTAAAAAACAAAGTAACTTGATGAATAATAATAAGAGTAATTATTTCAGGATTATGGCTATCTTCTCTAATCGGCAACATATTCAAAGAGCTTATACATTCATTAATGTGCTGTTTGATTACAATGCTAATGGGATACGGGAGTGTTGTTTATTTTATAATCAACAGACCATAATGCTACCAGAAGCTTCTAACTCGGTGTAACTTAATCCACAGATAAAACGAAAGGAGGAGACAAGAACTAAATTTTATGACAAGAATATCGATTTTCAAATTAAACATATTAAGCCAAATTAGGTCCTAATTTATATTGTTAGTTTGATAGCCGTAAACACTTTGTTGATATTATTATCATAACTGGTAAAGATTGTACAAAATACAGAAGTGAAAAGAAGCTTTTAATTATTTAGAATTAGGTAGAGTAGAACCAAACAATGAATGAAAATGCATCATATAGCTGTTTCGTCCTTCTGTCCTTTTAGGACTCGTAAGTGATGCCAAGGGCCTAAATTTTGAAGCTTCTGGAGCGAATGAAGAAAATATAAAGTTATCAGAAGAAGAAGACAAAATCTAGATGGGAGTTACATGCAGCACAATAATTAAATAAATTCCGTATGTCAGATAATTCTAGAACAACGTCAAGTACCTGTGTATATTCTGAACCGTGTCACTATTCGAGTCAGTTAAAAACGTGGCATGCAGGTTACGGCAAACCTCGAGGAGATGATACATTCAAATGATAAAATCATTGGAAAGTTTGTTCTACTGATCTCGATTTTTCTATGTATATTTCAGTGTACTGGTGGAGATTATGGAGAGGTGCTTTTGTCCCTCAGTTACCTTCCTACAGCAGAGAGACTCACTGTTGTCGTCATGAAAGCCAAAGATCTTCGCATGACCGGTGTTACAGGTTCCTCCGGTAGAGTATAAACATTTTTAAACCCACAAATGCACTTCATAGTGATTTTTCTCATCTACTTATTCGAACTTGTGCATATCTCATCGTGCATCGTTTAAATTGAATCGTACATTTCACCAAAATAATCATGGATTGTATTCAAACCCAAACATTATTACAATTGTGTAAACAAAACAAGCAGACCACACGTGGATTAAACTCAAAACGCTATTTGATGAGCGAACACGATAACATCCGACTTGTGTGACTGTGAATGAAAGGAAAATTTCGGGAGAAGAGTGTTTTACGCACATGCATAAATTAAAACGCCAAAAAAGTAGTTCGTGATTTTTTTAGTTTAATTTCAGATATGATCATTTGCGGTTGCATATTTCAGTTGTTTATTGCGAAGATAAAATCTCTGACTCTGAGAAATATATTTTATCCCGTATTGTATTTCTCAAACGAAGCATTTGCAACATCTAAATCATATTTCTTTCTTTTTTTTTCTTTTTTTTTTTTGTAAATCGGTACTATACATGTGTATATGAACTTCAAGAATGAAGAGTTGCTATCAACTATAATGTCATTTTGTTTATAGAGATTTTACTGTCACAAATAAAATTTTAGAGGCGATGATCATGCTCTTGTCTCTGGATCAAAATGTCATTATCATATAATCTAAGTCCTCAGTCCCTCTCCAAATCAGAACAATGTAGGAAATTATCAATAAGTTATCCGTATAAGTATGTGTGCAAACATTTATAAATGCTGTACATAGAAGTTTCAGTAATTTTCATTTAAATGTTGCTAATTCTATTTCTAATCCTTTTTTGTGCAACAAATCGTGTTTCATTTTCCATGAAGTTTGAAAACACATTATCATTTAACGTACACAATAGCAAATAGCTTCTCTTCGAAATAAAAGCAAACCCGTTTATTTTTCATTTAGTCAAGTGATTTTTATTTTGTAAGCCCTTGGCATGTTCAGTATGTGGAATTCTGAAACAAGGTTATTTTAAGTGTTGATGCAGTATTGTATTATGAATACGTGTTCTAATAATGGAAATAAATAAAATGATGCTATCAGGTAGCAGAGGGATTTTCATGTGGAACGCTACAGTTTGAAATGTACTTGTAGACACAAACATATGAACACTTTAATATATATGTATTAGGTTCTTTAATAATATACACTTGCCTTAATTTCATGTTATATATTAATAATTTTCATTAACTGCATACTAATCACTAGCCCAATATTCAATTTCATAAGAAAGGAAGATAGTGATTTTACATTAGACCAAGTTGACTTGTGATTTGTGAAAAATACAAGTTGGTTGACATGTTTTTCATTAAAATATTCAGAACAGTAAGGGAGAAAAAGTTGGTTTTTACGACGAATTTATTGACAACTGATGTGGCCACTTTATAAAGGTTTAGTATGTTGAATAAGCTGAGGAAACTTCATAAACAAACAAGAGCATTTGATTAAAGCAACTCATTTTGCTTACTGTATAACACCAGAATCAGTTAGTATCACTGACAAACTATAATATTGTATTGATTAACTATCAAAGAAAAAAATATAGATTTAATCCAAAGCGGAAAGTATTTAACAGATACAAAAGTTCAAATATCTGATTTATGTACATCATTCAAGGTGTTATAACATGGCATTCAATTTACATGTATCAAATTAGCATCTGTATACTCATCAGACTGTAGTCTCAAATGAGTAGGGAGCTGTGACTCTATGGTGCGTAAAGAAGTTGTGAATATTATTCAGTAATTATTTTACTAACCGAATAATAATTGAAATTGACATAACAACAGAACGGATAGCTGCAGCCAAAAAAAATCAGATTTGTTTTTGTGCAAATGTGGCATTGAAAAAACCAACAAAAACAATAATTTGCATATAATAGCAGAACCTTTACGAAATAGAGACTGCGGTTAAATTGGACCGCCAACGTTTTTATACTTACACTAATGAAGAAAAGGAAAGTGCCTGTTATATATGGATACCCTGATATCTCCCTCATGAAATCAGTTACATATTTTTTTCAGCATAGAAACTCTCATATCCGAAATATTTAGAAACTACTTGAAAATCTGAATTGAAAACGTAATAATAAATACAATATCTGATTTCACTTTTATCCAATCGCTAAATTAGTAAAGGATTTTGAAAGGATATAACGGACATGAAAATTGATTAAAACCGAGATTCACTTTTGTTTATTTGGCAGACACCTACATCCGTGTGAGTCTGACTGTTGAAGGCAAGAAGGTGAAGAGGAAGAAGACCACGGTTAAACGTAACACTACATGCCCGGTATGGAACGAAGCTCTTGCTTTCAATGTTCCCGCCGAATTACTGCCTAAAGTGAGTCTGGAGGTGGCTGTTATGGATCATCATGACCTCATAGGCCACGGCGACATTGTAGGCAGGTGTATTATCGGACCAGAAAAAGAAGATCAAGAGGGAAAGCACTGGAACGACATGATGCAAAATCATCGAAAGTCAATGGCAATGTGGCACCATCTGCATAAAAGATGAAGACTTTTTGTCAAGTTAATTCATTGTTGACCTTCTAGGCAAACAAGAAACAGGTTCATTTTTGTTTTCATAATGTCTGTAAGAATATGTGTTGGATAATGATAACAGTAGGTGTATAGGCATTTGTTTGTTGGTATTTGATAAAGAACTAATCAGGATATACAGTGGTCTTTGTAAGACAAGGTCATATGATACAGTCTTGTTTAATAAGTCCCATAGTTGCTCCCGTGAGAGCTTTCCCGGTATGGTATTGTGACGATTTGCCCAATACTACATGTACTTTGATTTGAAACAAAAGCAATGATGACATCGGTGTGAGCTTCGTACATCAACTGTTTACGTAGGAACTACCCTGGACATCTGATGTTGCCTTTACATTACGGGAATATCTATGATAATCCGAGTAACATTCTGTTCAGTACATGTTTATTTTCATCCAAATATCATATCAAGTTATAGCGATATGTATTGTTGTGCACATTTCTAGTGCTGGCGTGGTTTGTCTTGGTGGAAACGCTACCTTGTTTTGTTCATGGACGTTATAGGGCATTTTGTGTTAAATGAAGGTGTGCATGCCTTGCATGCATAATTGATCAATATTGGAATGGATATATTTTCAGTGAATATCGATAAATATTTTGTGTTGGTGGTGAATGATTGATGTATTTTACGATAATAAAGCATACGTTCATCTTCACGAGTCTCTCCAAGTTTTTTTTTAATTCAATGCCTCTGCACGTTATTTGAACACGTATAATCAAGATGGACAACTTTTTGTTACAGTGTTTTCATATTGTTCATGCTCTCATTTTCCAATCCCTCCTGGGAGACTAAAAAATCAGTAGAGGAAAACCATACATCAATAACCTAGATCTGGTTAATACCCTTGAATGATTAAGATTCGTGTACGCTTTAGATATTAAGCACGAAATAAACTTATTGCTAATTATACTTCATAAAATTTGTTTAGATGTAATGTTCAAATTAGAAACTAAATTTGGATAAGACCAGAAAGACATTCAAAACGAAGAGAACATGCAGAATATCAAAGGATCACTTAGTTATTCGTAACCTTGGTTATATATGTACACATGTATATTAACGCCTACATAGACTAAACCAATGACGTCTGCAGTTGAGAAGAGGTACAACATGTTATATAGCGTAAACACTTAGAGGTCTAGAAAACGCTATGGATCATTCACACCTACAAACACCAGACTGAGGTTTGCTCAAAAGTTAGAGTTAACCAGTGGAACATTTAAAGAGTTGATACTAAACAACAAGAGTATTTAATACAAAATTAACTTACAAAATATACAAATCTGACCTGTCTAAACAAACCTACACGGCTCGAAATGATAAGGATTGTTTCTGATTTTTTTTTTTAAATTCATATTTAAAAATCTTCACTAACCACTGGTTATCTCTAATCTGTCTTTGAATTACTAGGACCTGGTCAACAAAGTAGATGAGTCACTTAGGTACTCTATAATTCCGGATACGTGGTATTCATTCCTTGAATGATTTTTTTCCCGAACAAATGAAACACCAATTAATAGCAGTTTCCAACATAAATTCATGGAATCAAATATCATCTTGCTGATGATGATGATGATGATGATGATGATGATTATGGTGGTGATGATGATGATGATGATGATACAACTTAATCAAGATTATGGTGATGTGTGAGTGAGCATATTGTATGTTGTATGTTTGATGATGTTTTGTTGATGTAATTGTTATGTACATTAAAAACTCTTGAAAAATAAAAAAATAAAAAAAAAAAAAAAAAAAAAAATATCATCTTGCACATATTTCATCCTTCTTAATCTCATCATGGATAGGTACAAAGTAATGAATTCGTTCTGAACTAGGGAATTTAGTACAATTGTCTGAACATGTGTAGACACCGATTAAATGGATACAAACGAACCACGACACCTGTTTATTCTTAGTGTACTCTGTAAACACTACATTACCTTACTATGGTTATGTAGTTGCGTAAGGCTCCTGATTACAGACGATATTAAATTTTTATGGTGATACCCACACTATCGATACTTAATACCGTCCTTTCCTCTGGGATCAATACAGAAATACTATGCGTTGCATAGATACAAGATATTCTCAGTCTTGTTTTTCTCGTATTGTAAACCCATTTCACCATAAATCGCAGCCTTGTGGAAAATTAGAAACCTTTCTGGAAGACGTATCTTGTAAACAAGAAGTCGTTTTACTTTAAAAGTAATGCTATACCAGTAAAAATTACCTAACGTGAATTTCCATTTAAAAAGTGATTTATATTACGAGTCAAGATATTTCTAAAAAAAAGCCTTACTGATATTATAAGTATGTGAAGAGACTTGAATCACGTATCAAATTGAAACTAATATACATGTCAGATTTTTTTTTTTTATTATTTGATCGAATATCCCGGCAAATGTTTTGGAAATAGTATACTTCCACATCAAACTTGAAGTCATTTCTGTTCTATATCTGCTGTCTCCATTGTTACGTCACATTGCCATTTATAGGTGTCGCCATTTCACTATCTAAAACCCGATGTCACAATATGTTTTTTCATGCATATGTATAGTAATTGAATTTTAAGCCAAGCCATTTATTACGATGTGGAAACCGTTATGTTGACCACATTTTGTTGATATAACAACAGATTGTAATTTATCAAGATCGTGGGTGAAACATTAAATATAAGTTTGTAAATGAATTATACACATAAAATAATGAGGGTGCGAGGTCATACAGGTCAATAGTAAATACATGTGACACATTATCCAGACGATACTCTTCATTTTTTCTCTATACTGCCGATTTTTATCCACATATAAACCGCATCGGTTTATTAGCCACACACCCGACAACCGAGGAAAAAAACTACGGCTTAAAACTAGGAAAACATGGTAATACCATGGACTTAGAATAGAAAGATAGGTAACTGTCGTTTAACGAAAAATAAAATATAATTAATTGTTCTTTTGACATTTCTTTCTACATTTTCTACTAAGGTGGAGACTTTAATAGAGTATCGTTCTCACAATGGGAGGTAGATGTGTCTTAAGGAAAGACATTAAAGCCAATAAATCTGATAGAGATATGACTTCCCCAGCACAACTGGTTGTTTGATGTTTTAAAAGCAGATGGCAATACCTTTACTGATAACCAAGAGATTGGTAAGTGCGCTAAGTGGTTTAAGAATTATCAGAAAAGAAGGCCCACTACCTGAAGGTCAAAATGTTGGTGTTGATGATGACGATACATGGCGGAACATTCCGCTATTATCCATTTATTTTAGGGCCAGTGTCCATACGCAAAATGCACACTATGCATGAAGAACTTCAATCAAAACTTGACCATAATGCTTAAGCGCACAAACACCAACTTATCTTTCATCACAAGCTGTGGTGTTCTTTGTCCTCAGGTGTTTATTCACATCATATCATATCTCATAACGTTGAAATCCGCACTGATGAAAGAGAAATGTTGACTTCCCAGCTATCTTGCAGTCCAAGGGAAATCACGAATGATCTCTTGGATAAATATTTGCTCTCAAAGGAGGAATCGTCTTCTACTCTTCTCTGGATGATGCAGAATGTTAAGCCAGGATTGGTTGGACAAATACATAGTTTCTAAGAATTATTTCTTATTTTACGCTCCAAAACACGAGGGCGCACTACTGTTGTTCTGGGTAAAAATGAAGATGACATATCATGGAAACAGTGTTCAACTCTTTCTAACATGTAAATTTCCACTATGTCGAAAACATTTCATTTCATAGTACAAGCATTAGAAATAATCTTTGTTTCTTGGACGTGAACATCTTACAAGAGGAAATATTCTGGAGCAAAACATTGTATTCTCAGAAGCATTTCTTGGCCAGCTGGCGACTGTAATACTTGACGGTATATATATCATTATTCCTGAGAGTTCTGATCTGCTCTAGAGAATCTTCTATTGTGGCCATACGAAGCAAAGGTATTTGAAATTCATAAGCATAACACTGCCTGATGGTTACATTCTGAACACAGGAGGACTTTTTTCCTGGAAGCGATAATGATACAAAGATAACAAAAGCAACCATGGATAGTTTTTCCTGGCTGGAGAAAGATGACAACGTCGTTGTTGATCGAATGTTTTAGGACGTTTTGATAGATTTGGAATCATGTGGCAGGACAACAAATATGCCATCTTATCTAGAATTTGGGCAGACTCAACATGACGACCTAACAGCTTACCTTGATAGATCCTTAAGTAAATTCAGATTGGTAATGGAGTCATAAAAGGGACGATTCAAGCAGTTGCTGTTTTTCAAAATATATCTGCCTCCAACTATTTTCTTGGTGTCATCGGGGCACTCTTTAGAATAGTAACAGCCTGCCTCAATTGAATCCAAAGGATAGGGGGCTGACTGCCAAAATGAAAGTGCAACAATTTAGTTTTAGTTTTGCGGATAATTGTGACTTGCCAAAGTTAGACATGGAATACCTTCGGGCAAAATATCATTGACAGCTGGCTACATAAGTGAAGACCTAAGTGAAGATAGTACTTACAAGATCTGGATCTATCGGTATTCTCGAGGCATTGTACGATGTCAGATCCGCTCGCAGTGTAAAGTACAATGTTTGGATCAATTCAGTAAATGATTATTATTGCCGTTTCCCTACTGGACTGAGAAACATGGGGGTATGTGCCCACGTAGCCAGTATACTGTATTATTCAGGATAGTACATATATTTGGAAACCAGTAAGCCTTTGCATCCAAAAGTCAACAGGTTTAAGACAAACCTCAAGTAATGTAGACTTCAATACCCACCGCCATCTTCATGGCATTAGGTATGGTCGATTTGGACAATTGGAAATACATTATTGTACGATGTAGACCAACACTGACATTGAAAATCAGATTCTAGGACGAAGAAGCCTTTTTGCATTTTGGTGGTTTAATATGTAAACCAATTTAAATTTATTATTTAGCA